GATAGATAGATAGATGGATAGATGGCACAGGATGAGTTGAAGATGAAGGGGTGATATCTAGAGAATAAAATTAAGGAGGGAGAGAGGATTATACTGGGAGAAGGACAAAGAGAGTATCAGAATGGGATAAATTATCTCACATAAAACAGACAAGAAAAGTCTTTTACAGTGGAGGGAAAACGGGGGTAAGGTGAGAGGGAATGAGTGAATCATTCTCATGGAATTTGGCTTAAGGAGGGAATAACATACACATTCAATTCTATATCATGAGATATGAAGTAATGATTCATCATCAGTCTTCTGAAATTGTTTATTGCATTGACCAGAGTTTCTAAGTTTTTCAAAGTCTCCTGTGTTGCAGTATAAATTGATTTCTTGGTTCTACCATATCAATTCATATAAGTCTTCCTAATTTTGTCTGAATCCATCCCTTTCATTGTTTGTTATGGCACTATATTCATAAATCACAATTTGCTTAGCCATTCTCCAATTGATGGGTACCCACTTTGTTTACACTTCTTTCTTTTATATTTATATCTCTAGCACTTAGCACAGTATTTGACATTCACTAAACATAATAAGTGAAAAAAAAAGAATGCATGTAGAGGGATGATGACTGGAAAGTAGATTAGACATTGTTCAGTCATGTCCAACTCTTGATATCTCATTTGGAGTTTTCTTGGCAAAGATACTGGAGTGCTTTGCTATTTCCTTCACCAGCTCATTTTACAGATGAGGAAAATGAGGCAAAGTTAGGTGACTTGCCCAGAGTCATACAACTAGTAAGTGTCCAAGGCCAGATTTGAACTCAAGAAGATGAGTCTTCTTAACTCCAAGCCTGTGCTCTATCTACTGTACCACCTAGACTTCCAAACTACCAGACTGTGACTAGGAATGGAGAGGTATACAAAGCTGAGAGAAGATTTAATATTTTATCCTAGAGGCAAGAGCATTTCAACAGAGTTCTCCAAATTCTTGTTCCTTTTGCTAGGGCTGAGTTGAAGTTGATATTTGTCCCATACTTTAGTATTCTCAGTCAGCAAATTAAAGCTATAAAGGAGATTGCATGGAGTTTGTTTCATCCATTTAAGAGCAAACTGCTTAACAATCTTAACACCTTATTTGTTTACATGCGAAATGAAGGTACTCATTACATGAGTCATCTAAGGAATTTCAGCAAGAGCTACATTCAAACACTTTGTCAGCAGTCAATTTCAGATACTAGGTGTAATGAAAAGTAACAAATTTTAATTTCTATAATTCATATTTGCCACTAGTTTTCACTGTTCTTCCCTATTTTGATTGTTCTTCCCAAGTCCCTTAAAATTAGCCAATGCAGGATGCTTGCAAATGTTCCCTTTCAAAGAATACTGTGAGGTGGAGAGAAAGGTATTGTGATATTCAAACAGATTTAAATTCACTATAAAGTTTGGCCATACTTCTGCCCTAGGTCATTGAGTTGGCACTAGGAGAGACATTTTCAAATTCCACACTACCTTCAAGTGTCTTATCAGTAAAGGAAACTAAAACTTGTACAGAGAATCCTGAGATATTTGCTTTGGCCAGGGAGAGAATCTGATTAACCGAATATTTTTGTTCAAAGTCAGTTACCAAAGACCCCATACATGAACTGTTAATTTTCAAAGAACTGAACTATAATTAAATATACTGAGCACAGAAATTACAGTAAGGTGATTTAATCATTCCCTGATGACTTGGAAGGCACTCTGACCCAAGGGCATCTGCATGAACTTTTTGTTACTATTGTATTTAAATGCTAAATGATACTTCTGTATCCATTATTAGAGAACTTTATTAATACGATGGTGGGTTAATGGAGAGTTTATTAGCTCAAAATCTCGGAATTTCTGTAGGTACAGAGATCAGATTTTAATCCTACCTCTGCTACTAACTATCTGTGTGGTAAAATGCTTCACATCTCTGGATCTCACTTTCTTCACCTGCCAAATGAAAGGGGAAAGGAGTGGAGAGGTTCCTGGCCATTTGTCTGGTTCATTCCACCGACAAAGGAGAAATGCTTAGGACCCTACTTTCAGTAATCCTCGGCCTTTTCTTGTCTCTCTTCACTCCTGCTTTCTACTTTTTTCTCCATAATCTATTAATGATCAAACCAGCTCAAGACTTTCATCTTCTGCTCCCACCATCCTAATTCTGACCTCCTGGCAACTGATTCCTACGTTACTCTAGCCACCTCCTAACTGGTCTCCTTAAGGCTAGTCTTTCTCTATTTAAATCCTTCCTAAACACAACTGAGAAATTAAATTGCCTTAAATATTGTTTTTATACAGACATTCTCTGGCTTAAGTATTTCAAGTACATATTTGCTGCCTGCTGGAAAAAAAAAATCCAAACTCTTTCAAGGCCCTCCTTAATCTGGTTCTACCCAATTCATTTGGCTTTCTCTTATATCCATCCCCAATGTGATTAGACTAGCCAGATTATAATCATCATAATAACTCTTATTATTAACAGCAACAACCACCAACATGTGTTGCATTTGTGCTTAAAATATATAAAAATATTTTACATACACCATCACTCACAATTTTGATATAAGGGAGGTACCATAGATATTATTATCTTCATTTAACATAAAAGTAATGCTATAAGATTAAGTGATTTTTCCCATGGTCACACAGCTAGTGTCAGGGACTACCTTTAAACATTTTTCTTTCTGACTTTCCAGATGGTAATTTAGTTATTTTACCACATAGCTCCTCAACTGGTCTCCCCTTTGATTCCATTCATGAACCCATCTGTAACTATTCCAGCCAACAATGAATGCTGCTTCCACTGCTATATCACATGTATTCTTTAAATAGTTCAATTTAATACTCAATCATACACTATCTTGTAATGGAATACAGATGTTGCATGCTTGTCCATATATCTTGATCCCCCACTAATTGTAAGCAACTTGAGTGAAGGGGCCATGGCTTCTTTTTTTCTTATAGCTTCCAACAGTGCTGATTAGTAAATTAGTGTCTACCAACTGTATGAGATAGATGAAATTAATAAAATTATTGTATTGTTTTGTAAAAGGGGAACTTTTGAAACATAAAGTCACTATATCTCACTATAAAGTAAGTTTTACTGAGTATCCACCTTCAGGTAACAGTCTGAGCTGGGTAGAGGTCATCAGGAGAATAATAGCAGAGAAAATATAGATTTTGACCTTATTAAACTTGTAATCCAGCAGAGATTCTAACAGAGAAACTGTCTACCTAACCCATGAAAATGATTAAAAGTAGTTAGAGGGTAGTATATGAACATATACAAATATGTCGTAAATTGAGCAAATAAGCTAAGAGGATACATAGCAAAATCAGGTACGGTTCACAGAAATCAATTTTAGAGCTAGAGTGATTCTATGTAGTCATGTATTCTATTCCATTTTACTTCATAGCAAAAGAAATGGAGGCTCAAAAAGATTAAATGACCTCTCCAAGGCAGCTGTAGAGGTGGGAATCAAAGCCTGGTCCTGTGTCCCCTAGTCTATTGCTTTTTCTTTTGTACCAAGCAAAATGACCCCCTGAAGAAGCTGGGTTTTAAGGGTTTTGAAATAAGGGAAAGTTTGGAAACTGCAGAATGTGAAGAGACTGAGACTTTCCAGTTTAGGTATAATGGTTCACATGTAGGACTGAGAGAGTAGAGTAATAAGCCAATTTATTTGCCAGAGGTGTAAAGTGGGTCACATTACTAATAATTAAAATGTTTCAGTTAATTTGCTGTAATTTAGTAAAAAAATATATGTTTTTGATATGGCCCAAAGATATGTTATTCATTATATACCATGTAATGGTGACTAGTTTGCCAAACTAGGGAAATAAAGCATAAGTGACCTCTGAGGTTTGTAGGACAAGTCAGAGGAAATTTATTTTCCATTCCAGCTCAGTCTCAGAGTATATAGTCACCCAGCCCAGTATTTCAATCATTCATTCAGGTCAGGTGCACCCTAAATTGATGATTAACTGGAGAAGATACGAGAGCTATCCTTTAGACAGTATATAAAGGATGAACCAATGTTAGCTGCACATTTTAATTTGCCTTTTTCTTTAACAAAAATGCCTAATCACATACCATGGAAAATTTGAATTTTAGGCACAAAATTTAAAGATGCTCCTACATTCCTTCAAACTCATCCTTCCAAGAGAGTAATGGCCACATTTAAGTTTGATAGTAACAAAGTTGTAAAACATTTTCTGAGAAAATTAAGAAAAGTGTTCAATCCAGGGAAAGATTAGAAGATGTTTAGGATAAAGTGTCAGATCTTTTCTGACTTGAGGGAAGAGATACAATCCCTCTCTAAACCCAGGGTCCTTAAAAAATCTTCTTGATCTGTCTGTACTGATGCCTATTTTCCAGTGACACACAAAAGGAATTTTATTAATATCATGAAAAAGATTCTATGAATGCAGGGAACCATGAGGCATACTGTACATGTCAAGCAAATCTTACTATTAATTTCCAAAAGGCAACAAAGTCATTTTTACTCAGTTTACAAGTTTATATTAGGGACAGAGAGACAGAATGTCTCATTCTCTTCAGGAGAATTGTTCTTGCTTGTTTTTTCAGATATATAAAATTAATATTCATTGACATTTTCAAGCACCACTCCCAAAGATATATAACACTGCATAATCTCATGCACTTTTCTAAAAGGGCAATGATATACATAGAAAAGACCAAATATTTAGAAGGTTTAAGCTCTAAAGTCCTCCAGTTAGGAGTCACTTTACATTCAATCAGAAAGAAGTATTCCAAAGTAAAAATACTCAAGAGCATAATTTTAGATAAATGGATTCAACTTCACATTCACACAATTACATCAGTAGTTTCTTCCCAGTAAATCAAAACTATGTGTGTGATATAAAGCTGATACTGTTGGACCACCAGAAATTACCATAAACCATTAACTATGATTTATCAATTTTCATTCTTTTTCTCCATTCCTCATGGATTATGCTGCTATCAAGAAGATTCCTTCAATATGCAACAGCTACACTTGAAACAGATGTATGCACTCAGAAATATTAACAAGGAAATGCAAACCTGGAGAGGTAATAAACATTAGATATTATGTTTAATGAAAATGAGTCCCATGAGGAAAAGCTAGAGGGACGGGGCTTATTTTAATTTAACAAAGAAGAGTCTGAGAAGAGAATTAGTAATACCTATGTGTATGTGAATGGATACTGCATGAATAACAGGGAGCAGAATTGTTTTCCTTCTGTTGAGAAGAAAGTGAGAGGAAATAAGCTAATATTGGAGGTGGAGGGATCTAGTTTAGACTTTTGGATTTTTTGAGGTCTATTTTCTTGTGAATCCTTCAGCAAGATTGTGTTACCAAATGCACAGAAAAGAATCTGTTCACTACTTTGTGGTCTACAAGACTTTTTTATTTATTAAACAGATCCTGCATGAATTAAAATAACCAGTAGAAGAGAGATATTAGAAAGTGTTGCAGGAAGTTTTATGATGTAAGATGTTGCTGGAAGCCACACTAACCCAGATGATCATCAAGTACATACTTGTATGACTGTGTACTTTTCAGCTCAAATATTTCAATTTCAAGTAATTTCTGCAGTAGCTGAAAGCAGCAGCAGCAATTATCAAGACAAGGAAAGGTGAATAAGACCAGTGAAGGACAGATGTTTTATGGGCATCTCTGAATGACTTCAGTAATGTGGTTAAAAGCACCAATTTCCTGTGCTAGGCAAGGTTTTATCATCTTCATTTTTTTGCTTATGTATTCCTTCAGTCTTGTCAGTAAATAAACATTTATTAAGCATCTACTATGTGCCAGGCACTGTGCTAAGTTTTAGGGATACAAAGAGCCTAGCTCAGTAACTAGAACAAAGCTGATAGTACATACCTATTGGATAGGAAAGCAGCAGGAAGAAAAAGTCTGAATGCCTTTCCCCTCCTGGAAGCAGGAGGATGGAAGAGAGGCCCTTTGGTCTTCTCAGATCATTTATTCCCTACCTTCAAGACTCTGGGGCATAAAAAGACTACTCACAATCACTGATATAGATAAATATCTATAATTACACAACCATGACCATGCGCATGGGTTCATAGCTCCAGAGCTGGAACGGAACCAATTTAGATGGCCTGTTACAAAAGCAATTCAAATTTTAAATGATCAAATATCATTACTATCTTTACTAGTAATCTATTTGACCGGAAAAGAATAGTCTAATAAACATTTTTTAAAAGATATATGGAATTGATCCTTTTCCATATTAGAAAAGACTGAGGGGGTGATTTCTTAAGAGTTAGGCTTAAGAAGGATTTTTGCTAAGGATATTAGAAACACTGAAGACTTGGTGAGTATCAATAAAATTTCAAGGAATGCTCCTGGCTTTAGGAGAATTTATTCCTAAATTTTCTTGGAGAAGATAATCCATGCTACTTTTAAGAAATAAGGAGAAAGGCTAGTACACTGTTTTGTGGGGGAAAAAAATAACTGGAAAAATAACTCACTGACTTTTTCTTGGATGTCCCCATGAGAATTTGGTCTGGTGTATTTTCTAGATTTGTTTGGATGGGGTTTATATTTGTGTGTGGTGGCTGGGGAAGCCGACTGCATGTCTTCGTGTTATTCTACCATCTTGGCTCAGTATAGAAGAATGGATAGAATTCTAGAGTTGGAGTCAGTGAATTTGAGTCCAAATGTAATCTCTGCCATTTACCACCTCTGTAACCTTGGGGAAATCACTTAACCTCTCTCAGGCTAGGTTAGCTCATCTGGGAAATGAGAAATCTAAATAAGATAAGGTTCCTACAAGCTCTGAATATAGTTATCTATGATCCAACATAAAGCGTTGTTAAAAACCAGTGTCCTTCATGAAGGCAGATGTTACCTCTCTACCTCAGTGGCATCACTTAAAATACAATTGATTCTCACCTTCAAAATGGATGGTGAATTGTTATGTTCTGCCTTTTAGTTAGAGAGACGGGCTTCATAACTTCTAAAAGACAACTCTGAGCTGAAGGCTCTGTGATTTAATATGCAATGGAGATACTCTAAGATGAAAACTATTTCATGGTGTGTGCATGCAGAGTGATCAGCCATATATAAACCTCAATATTTTGTTCATGAAACTAAATACATACTGACTTATTTGAAAAGAACCAGAGTAGAAGACAAAGCAACCCTGGCACTACTGTATTAAATTTAGTATATCTAGAAAAAAACAAGCTGTGTGTAAGGGAGAGTCTAGGTTTCATGTATAATCCTCTTTTTCTATCCTTCTTTATATGTGGAAATATGCATTTTTGTCACTGTTTAAGTTCAAATAAGATTTATAAAGGAAAAGGACTGAAAGAGTTAATGCTCTTTTGCAACTGTTATTTTAAATGCCACTTTAAATGCCTTTTAATTAAGCAAATCAAGGTGACACTAGGGAAAATACACTAATAGCAATTTTTAAAAAGAAGGAAACAAAGAAAGTATGTGCACATGCAAGCACAATGGGAGTTTAATGTTTATTAACAGTAAAATAAAACCTCTTTACAATAGTAATGCAAAATCCATTTTGTTCTAAATGTTCTTTGATTAAAAGATCCTTAAGTGAAAAATAATGTTCAGTCACATAATTATAGTCAACATTCCTCTTCCATGAGACTTTAGAGATGGATCCACATATTAAGGAGAAATTTGAAGTAACTCCAGTGAATATTCCTGGTTGTCTACTGGGTCTTTGGCTATAGTTTATAAAACAAAAATAGTCTTCAAATTTCAGCAGCTGCAAATGAATCCAAGGCTTTGAATTCAAATTAGTAATAAAAAAAAATAAGAGCCCATCCAAATCATTTAAGTAAATTGAAAGGACAAATCAGTTTGCATTTCTTGCTATAACCAGGACCCTTTCCCTTCTTTCTCTATACTCTTCTCCTTAGTGATCTCAACAAGTTACCATGAGTTCAACCATTATCTCTCCACAGCTTACTTCTTTATCTATACATCTAAGCTCTAATATAGCTCCTGAACTCTAGCCACACAATATCTACATTTGGGTGTCTTGTACAGAGCTCAAACTCAACATGTCCAAAATGGACATTCTCTTCCCTCCAAACATATCACTTCTTTGAACTGACATATTTCTGTTCAGGATCTTTCCTGACCTGAACCATCATTAACTTTTCCCTCTCCATCATATGCCTTCTGCAGTACATTTCCCAGTCTTATCAATTTTATCTCCACATCTATATACTCTATCCCACTCTTATACACACAGCCTCTATGCTAGTCCAGGTCCTCATCACTTTCTGTCTAAATAACTCTAAAAATTTCCCAATTTGTCTTCCTGCTTCCAGTGTCTCCCTTCTCCAATTCATCCCTCATACAACTGACAGCTTGATATTTCAAAGACTAATTTGACCATGCACTCCCCTAATCAAAACTTTTTCAGGGTTTCCCTATTGCCTATAGAATAAAAACAGAAAATACTCAGGTGGTCATTTAAAGTTTCTATGCTCTGGAGCCCATCTACCTTGCTAGTTTTACTTCTCCTTCCCAGAGGTAGCAGGTAGTAAGCAGACAGAGTGTTGGCCCGGAATCAAGAAGGCCTGAGTTTTAATCCAGTCTCAGGTGCTTACTAGCTAAGTGACCCTAGGCAAAGTCACTTAAGCACTATTTTCTCAGTTTCCTCAAGTGTAAAATAAGGATAATAATAGCACTTCTCTTGCAGGGTTGTTGTAAAGACAAAATGAGATAATATTTATTTTTAAAAAAGCTCTTAATGAAGTGACTGGAATATAGTAGGTGTTATATAAATGCATATTACCTTCCCTTCCCCTTACTTTATTGCACTCTCAGTTTTTGTCACATTGGCCTAGTAGCTGTTCTCCAAACACAACTTACCATCTCTCAACCTCTGTGCCTCTACACAAGCTGTAAGCCACATCAAAATGCAGTCTCTCCTTTTACCTCTTAGAATCTCTATATTTAATAATATACTATGATCAGGTTGGATTTATATAAAAAAATAAAGGTTGCTTTAATTTAAGGAAAACTATAAACAAAGCATACTATCAATAGCAATAACAATTACACAATAATATAAATAAGATTCTGAAAAAACTTTTGAAAATATAGTAACCATTTCTTTAAAAAACACTAAAAAGCATAAGAATAAATTGACTTTTCCTTAATATGGTAAATAGCAATTATCTAAAACCAAGGACAAACATTGCACATAATGGAAGAATATTAATGTCCTTTCCAATAAGAATAATGCTAAAACAATGATATTAATTATCATGACTGATATTTGATATAATGAGAGAAATGATAACTATAACAATAAGACAAAAATTGAGGGAATAAAAATAGGTAAAAAAGAAGAAACAAAACTATTGCTTCATTTAGATGATATGATAGAGTACTTAAAGGGCCAGAGGATGACAAGATTATAGATTTAGAGCTACAAGAGACCTTAGATACATGAGTCCAGCCCTTTCATTTTATAGGTGTGGACACTGAGGCACAAAATGGGTAATTAACTTCTTCAGGGTCACTCACCTGCCCTAGTGGGAGGCAGGATTTTATCCCAGGTCTTTCTGCCTTTGTATCTCTCTAACACAAGAAAGTTCTTTCCTCATCCAAGGTGCTTAATTAGTGCTTGTTGTTTAATTGAATTTTTTCTGAACAGTTTCTTCCTCGGCGTCTCTCAGCATACACGTTCTTTTTGGTCATACATTCATCCTAAATACTTCATCCTGTCATCTTAACATATTTTTTCTTGGCCTATCATAAATAAGACATGGCCTGATATGAATAAAGTTAAAAATTTCATGCTCTCTCTTCACACAATATTTTAGAAAGTATCTTTTGTTTTTGTTTTTCAATTTATTTTGAGTTTTGAATTCTATTCCTCTACCCACCACCTTTTTTCCCACATTAAGCAAACAAGAAAAACAAAACCTATTATAAGTAGGGTTAGTCTTGTAAAACAAATATTCTGGATAGTATCTTATGAGTCAGTGGGATCAGGCCTCATTTCTCAAAAATATATAGAGTACCAAGTCATGTTTATGAGAGTATGAGTCATTC